GACCAATGACATCTGTCCACACCGATGCATCACGCCCAACGCGCGCGTTGAAATCACCCAGCAGAAATAGTCGGTCGCTCCTCGACACAGACTGTATCACGGAGGATAGCTGAGTGTAGAATTGATCACGCGTGTCATCAGGATAACACATGGTCGGACCGTACGTGCTTTTAAAAGTGGCAAACTTACTTCTTCCGAGTCGTAGGCGAACAGTCATAAGTCGCGCGCTGATATCTGTTGGTTCATCCACCAGCTGGCTATTATGCGATCGGATATTGCAAATCCGACCCCATGATCACGTGGTGCTGCGGCGCCGTTGCCCACCCAGTAGAATGTGCAGCCAGCACCTGCTTCATGCAACTTACTGTGCTCGGGGAGCCGGGTCTCACTGAGCGCCGCAATATCGATGTGGTAGCGCGTCAGTTCCATCGCGACGTGTGCAGTCGGTCATTTTGCGCGTTCGCTGGAGTTCCGGTCCAGTAGTGTGCGCACGTTCCAGCACCCGATGCTGAGTGTTTTACGATTGGTGGGTAATCGCACGCGAGACGGTCGTTGTGCTTCGGAGGTTTGCTTGAGGGACTCCACCCGGAGCATTTGGCTCAATAGCCTGACCCACAAGGCAGTGAGTTGTTTGGATTTTTGCTTGAGGGACTCCGCCCTTAGACTTTGGCTCAAAAGCCTTACCCACAAAGCACAGTGTGGAGCGGACTACGGTCCAGCCATCGCCTTGTGTGCGATTGATTCACAAATATATCTTGCTTGTGTTTGCCTATGCAACAGTGTGGGCCGGCTCCGTTGATGAAACGTGGCTCGCATCCACGTGCCTCCTCTTCTTATTCTTTCGGCTTTACACTGGATATGTGGTGTGTTTTTGGAACTTTGAGTGGTGCAGGGCAAGCCGTCCATTGTCCCTCTGCAGCCGCCGGCGTCCTGTGGTTGTGCCTGTGGATGCAGCAGTGAAGGACAAATCCGGAACCGGGTGCTCCTGCCATATATATGGTTGGCGGCATCCGGTTTCGGATTTGCCTGTCACTGTGGCAAGCCACAGGACGCCTGCGCCTACAGAGGGACCATGGATGGCTTGCGCTGCACCAACCACAGCTCCAACCACACACCCCATATCCAGTGTAAACCCGAAGGAATAAGACCGGGAGGCATGTGGATGGGAGCCACGTTTCATCAACGGAGCCGGCCCACACTCCTTTACAGGCAAACACAAGCGCACTGTATTTGGGGAATCAAGCGCACACAAGGCGGTGGCTGGACCGTAGTCCGCTCCACACTGAGTGCATGGAACCCCTCTTCGAGCCTAACACGGCCACAAGGACCGTGCACCCCGTCCCCTCCAGCAATGACCAACTGTCTCCTGGAGCCAGTATGGACGAGGTAGTGGGTAATAGACAGGTAGGCACCTTGTCAACATGCACATCAAGCGCATCCACACCGGGGATATCAAACAACAGCCAATCACTTCAGAGAGAGAGAAAAAAAGAGAAAAACTCGATTAATGCATAAGGAAACGGTGACATAAACCTTAATTAAATAGCTTATGTAATAAGTTGTTTACAAACAAATCCTAGCTAAGTGCACGAGGTCAGGAAGTATAGATCGCGGTATGCCACGAACACAAAAATGTTATGGAAATCGAATACAATTGGCTGAAGCGATGTGTGCAAGTTAATGGAATAGAGTACAGGGAGATATTTATATGAGAAAGAAAAGCATTAAGGCACAAACTGTAAACCCACCACCTGAAATAAAGAGACTTAGCATGCAAGCACGCGGTTAGTAAATCGAATTCAACGTGCCTACAAACGCTGCGCCGGCTCGCTGTGATTCTCTGCAGGACCCGTCGTCGCTTCTGTAGTGGCCCCAAATGGCACAGCTCATGGCCCACTAGACATTTATATGAGAAAGAAAGGAATTAAGAGAGAACTGAAAACCCACCACCTGAAATAAAGAGACTTGGCATGCAAGCATGCGGTTAGTAAATCGAATTCAGCGTGCCTACAAACGCTGCGCCGGTGCTGCCTACGTTCACTGCGGGACCCGTCGTCGCTTCGGCAGTGGTCCCGAGTGACCTCTCTCATGGCTCACTAGGCTTGCCTGACTAAGGCACTCGCGACCGCATGTTCTACAGCACAATGCGCTCGATGTCGATGGAGTACAATTCATCGGTGCTTGCCACTTCCGCAACTGCCGCTTCTTCTCTGCATGCATGAGGGATTTCTCCCGCACCTCAGCAACTGCCTTCGTGATTAGATCGCGCCATGCACGCCGATCAACCACCTTCGATTCCCATGATCTGCAATCAAGATGAGAACGTGTGAGGCTCACTTTAATCATGTCCTGGTAACGTAACTTGGGTTTCCCCACGTGCCGCTTCCCAATACTCAGCTGACCGTATAAGAGTTGTTTCGGTATTCGCGTCGAATCCATACGGCTCACATGACCGAGCCATCTCATGTGTCTCAATAAAAGTATGCAATCCACTGCATACATCCCACTTCGGCGCAACACTTCCGTGTCTGCAACTCTGTCGCCCCAGCCGATCCGCAAAATTCGTCGCAGACACTGCTGATGGAACCGCTCGAGATATCGCACATCCCGACGGTACATCGTCCACGTTTCACTGCCGTATAGAAGAACGGACAGTACCATGGATTTGTACACTATCAGCTTCGTGCCAATGCTAAGCCTTTGGCTCAATAGCCTGACCCACAAGGCAGTGGGTGGTTTGGAGGTTTGCTTGAGGGACTCCGCCCGGAGCCTTTGGCTCAATAGCCTGACCCACAAGGCAGTGGAGAGCAGATCCAGCTCGGGAATGTGATTGCAGAGACAGATTGGGATCTGCTTGACGGCCGTCACACGCAGCCTTTGAGGTTCTGGAACAATTATCATATGTTTTGCGACCGTAATTGGATACGCACCTGCGACCACGGCCAGACGCAGGTGGGTTTTTGGCGGGTTTGCACCAATTTGACCAGGGGCTGCCTGGCTTGAGGCGGGCAGTAGCAAACCATTGAACACCCGGAGGTGTCCTCCCACCGTCAGAGACAATGCGTGGCACTCGTGCTCTATGCCAATCGAGCATTGAGAATATCACCCGTAACCTGTTGTCTCCCATGGCTAGGTTTTACGGGAAGTGGGCCATCGACCACTTCCTAACCTCCGGAGAGGATGGACTAGGATACTGCCAGGGCGCCCAATCCTGACAGGAGAACGACTCGGGTTCTCAACAAAAGCCTTCGATTAAATGAACACCCGAAAGGCAGTGGGTCTAGCACATGGTCAGTTAGCTGACTCATGCGGATTGGTGTCCTGGATCTTAGCAGGGAGAAGGGCGAAACCTAACTCCCACCCAGCGGTCGCCACGTGGAGGCGCCCAGGACATGAGACTATGGCGCAACAGTAGCAGCAGTGGGTAGACCATCTGTCAGGATCTAGCCACCACCAGCCTCAGCGCACCATAGGCTCTCCCGCCATATATATATATATATATGTATATATATAGTAACGCACTCGGGAGGCTGAACAAAGTGTTTCCAGTGGTGCCAAATCAACGAACAGTTGTGAAGCTTGATACCGGTGATGCATGCGTTTATCCGTGCAAAAATGTGTGAACCTGAACAATCAGCGCTTCCAGCGCTGTACTTTGCCAACAACTTGCCATTCGTTCGAAATAAAGCTTCACAATGCTGTACGCGTAAGCTGGTAACGTCTTAATAAACTGTGTTTTAGATGACTCGTGCTCCAAAGGAATGGATCAGCTGGAAATTGCGGCACCAAGTGTGTGGCAGATAAAAACACGGTATGCTGAATGAATGAATGGGTCTCATTCGTGATTCCTTACATCAGTGTGGGGTCACATATAATACTGTAGCACGATGTCACGTGTGACAGCCATGAATTGGCCCACGTTAGTGTTCACAAAGTGTAAGAGCACGAACAATACGACATGCAGTGTCATATGTAAATTACATCACAACATCTCGTATTTCATACGCTTTACCAAACCCATTCAGGTAGGGTCGATAGGCCATAGGTTGGTTGACCCCTGGTCTATACCTTTCCTTAATCATTTGCATCCATAGCGCTTACAACTTCCCACATAAGACGATCATTTTCCTCCATAGATCTCTGAAAATGGACCTTCGCTCTATTAAGTTGCATGTAACTTGTGCGGGCGCCCCTATATCTCATTGTTTCTTGGGTGACCTATTCCATGTCGATAAATAACATCCCACTCTATGTACCCATCTGTTATACTATCAGATGATTTCGGATTTGTCACTTAATAAACAGTACACATTTTTGGAGCGTTTGCACTCCTTGAATGCAACTTGATAATCTTGTTGACCATATTGGGAGATCTCTGGCGGAACATGTTTTTTAAAGGGGAATTCAAAAGCGCTACGGATATAATTGGCTGAGGAAAGGTTTAGAGCATCCGAATTGTCATCACTTGCTCCACTCCGCGCGATTTTGTAACACCCATTCATCAGTTCGTTATCCGTCCTCGTGACCTACACCATTTCGTTTTGTGGATGGTTTTCTTCATGGATTGCATGTAATTCGTGTCCTATCCAACGAGTTCTATGATTGTTTGAGATGCAAGCTAAATACACCATGTTTCATCTTGAAAATTGCTCGCTTTTCAGTTAATGCAGACGAACGACAACATTGATGGTGAGATGCTACCTTGGTTACTGAATTCGGCAAATATTTTTACGGACTACAAACCACTGTTATGCACTAAAGATATCACTTCGATCGGTGACAAAACGTCTGGAAGCGAATTGCAAACTCGACAACCAAGTCAACACCAGACCTGACCTTCCAGTTTTTCGACTTATCGCAACTTTGATATAACGTCAACGGGCTTATCCCAATCCTCACTTATATACACTCGTATGTTTCTTCTCAGTTTTTGATCTTAATTTTCCATGTGACTATTTTACTCTGATTTGTGAAGTTTCTTGCATTTACATTACTTGCAGTGCTGCTTATCCGATTCTGAGCGCGAGTGTGCTCGCCTTCGGCACGATTGCGAAACTACACAAGCGGAATATCAGTCTGTCACTCGCCACTTTGATGCCAAGGTACTCGAGTTGCAACAACTAGAAGAACAGCTAAAGGTGAAGCACACTGTTTTTCTTAACACAGCTTATCATTAACTTTATTAGGTATCTTGATGTGTTCTCTATACATGCAGTCTTTCTTTTGACAGTGCGCCGTTCGTCGTAAGTGACATTCCCACTATGCTACACTCTGCGGCCACGTTAGTTTTCAAACTTATGGACCACAAAACTTACTCATTCCCCTACTTAAAGAAAACCGCAGCGGCAATTGTACTAACAGTTCATCATCATCATTATACACGTTAGCCAGAGGTGGGAAACACCTCAGCTACTGTGCCGCAATACATAAAGGAAAAGGAAAATAAATACAACAGTTGCATGCCAGCTGAGCTACCAGCAACGGATAGGCATTGTTCCGGTAAGCTATCAGCCGGCTACTAGGCAAAAAGAAAAATTGTTATGTTTTACGCTACAAAATGAGATCGTAGGTGGAGCGGGAGGCTAAAAGGGATGGGGAGGGACAAAGAAACTCACAGCAGAAACGCCACTGAGGTCGGTTCCTTGTTATGTCAGCAAGTATGTCTAGCCAAACGTGTTCACCGTCTTTTGGACCCAAACCAGGGAACCGTGACGCTCCAACCGAGGCCAGCTCCGAAGTGAGGGACTTCATTCCTCTGGACCAAGTCATCGCTTGGCCACCTCTTCCATCCACATCCCCAGTGAGCAAACAACGCACGTCATGGAAGTCGGTGGGCTGGCATGCGCAACACGTGGCCCAGCCATCGGAGTCTGGTGCGTGAAATGACGGTGCTGAGCGGTTCAGTTCCTTTTTCTGTGCCGTAAACAAGGCGTCGAACACGCTCGTTACTCACGCGGTGTTCCCACCAGATGTGAGCCAAACTGCGAAGGCACCGATGGTCGAACGTAACTAGCCTCTTCATGTCCGCCGATCTAAGGGGCCAGGTTTCACAACCGTACAGTGGGGTCGAACGTACGGCTGCATTGTACACTCTACCCTTCAGGACGAGAGTGATTTCGCGCCGCCGTCATAGGTGGCGATGGTTAGCAAAAGCATTTCGAGCTTTTGCTATACGGTTCGTGATCTCGTCTTCGATTCCAAGGTCGCTGATAGAACTTCCCAGGTAGTAGAATTTTTGAACGACTTCTAGCTGATCCCCGCCAAGGGTCAGCGCAGGAGGCGGTCCAGGCCAATCTTGTAGGAACGCTTTGCATTTCAATGGTGCAAAGCAAAGCCCGAAGCGGCTGACAGCCAGCGCTAATCTGTCCAGCGCGGCATGGCACGCCTGGGAGCTGTCACAGATGAGGGCAATGTCGTCTGCATACTCCAAGTCGAGAAGTCGTTCTCTTGGGAGTAGCTCCACACCTTCCAAGTCATGTCCTGTAAATGCAATCTCCATGACTTCGTCAATAGCGAAGTTGAAGAGGAAAGGTGACAGCGGGAATCCTTGTCTCACACCGCTGGAGATATTGAAGGGTGGCAACAGCTTGCCGTAAGCCCTCACTCTGCCCGTGCTACGCGCGTATCATGCTAGGGTAATATTTACATATTTTTCGTTCACACCTTTCTTGTCTAGATAGTCCCAAAATGTACGTCTATCCATTGAGTCGAATGCAGCTTTGATATCTAGGAACACGACAACGGTGGACCGCCAATATATGTGACGGTGCTCCAACAACTGACGCAAAGTGAGGATATGGTCAATGCAGCCTGGACCTCGACGAAACCCGACTTGCTCCTCACGAATATGGCTTTTGCGAGCGCCAGTCAGTCTGTGAAGGATGACAGAGGCAAGCAATTTGGTGGCGATGGAGACCAGACTGATTCCCCTATGGTTTCCGCAATCCGATCATGAGCCTCCCTTGAAAATTGCGACTATGACGGAGCGGCTCCGGTCGTTTGGGACAGTTTCCTGCTCCCACGGTTTCACTGGTAACTCTTCTAAATCGTTTGTAAGAGAAGGTCCCCCGAATTTGAAGAGTGCTGGGGAAAGATCATCTGGTCCTGCGGCTTTATTTAACTTCGACAGTCCGATCTCGCATTCGACTTCTGAGGGAGAGGGTGGATCCAAAAGGCACAACCCATGGAGTGGGACGATCGGTGGCCGGCGAGAAATATAACCATTCCGACTGATTAAATTGCCTTTCAAAGTGCTCAGCCCAATGATCCAAACGTTTTGACAAGTTGTGGATAAGCTTTCCACTCTCGTCACGTATGGTTTCAGTTACACCAGGTCTTCTGCTGCCCGTTTTCCGTATCAGCCGGAATAACTTGCGATGGTTGCCAAGGGCAGCGGCCATTTCCACCTCTGTGGCACGATGAGACCACCAGGATTCGCGGTCTCACTTCGGGTTAGCACGGAGTTTTGCCCGGAGCTCTGTGCGAGTTTCTTTGTGTTTGCTTCCAGACGGAATATGCCGGCGTGCATCGATAAGTTTCGGAAACTGCGAAGAAACCCAGTGTCTATGTTGGCGATTAGACATATTACATGCGGATTTTCCTGCTGCTGGTAAGGTCTGGTGAATATGGGACCATTGAGTTTCAGTTGCATCCAGTGAGCGCTTACTCAGATCGCATGACAGCTTACTTTGATAATCATTCAAAACAGTTGGCTGGTATCAATGTGGTCACAACGTCGTCGTGGGCATCCGCCAAAGCGCATCCGTAGGTCAGCACATAGAAGTGCATGATCAGTGTCTGCACTTGTGCTCCAAATCGAGCGACAGTTCTGGACGCAGGCTCTCCATCGGTGACTTACCGCAATGTGATCGAGTTGCGTCCATAGCTTGTTCGAGGCTGGTGGACACCAAGTCACCCTCCGGCGGGTGTTGTGTCGGAAATTAGTGCTCGCAAGAAATAAGCGAGCATCTTCACACAAATGAAGTAACCGCTCACCGTTATCATTACGGGAGCCTACACCATGTTGGCCGTTCAGATGCAATTCATCAGTGAATAATTTACCAAGGGTTATTTCAGTGTGAATCGTAGTCTACAATGAGGTTGCGCGTCGCAATCTATTCTCACATCGAGTATGTCGAAATGACCCTCCAATTTCTACTGGTTAGTCATCGGAAACCTATGCACCTCGCAAATAACCTCATTGCCACCAAACTTCCTGAGTCCAGTGAACCGAATGAGTTGGCAATGATTTCGAGTATTGCCAGAGAGTTCAGCGGTCTCCGTCTCCAAAGCGAGCTCAGACCACCACGCCCTGTGATCCTTGAGCAGCAGTTTAACAGGGCGTTGCCGCTCGTTGTGATCTTATTCTGCCGAAATATCTGTGGCGATCGAACAGCTCCAGAAAGCGAACATAGATCGAAGCCTATAAAGGACATCAAGGTTGGCAGCGACTTAATTATCCGGAAGTGCTCATTGCATTCTCTATACGGGTCCATTGTTGTTCAATCTCTTAAGTTGGTGGATTGCGACGGAGTACGTATGCAGTGGAGACTGTTAGCTGTCCTTGACCGAGAAATCAGTATATCTGTTTGCATTAACCTTGGGGTGCCTCGTTTTTAGGAACCCCCCCCAATGCGGATTTTCGCGCAGATCAGTGCATGCTCCGAGTCACTGAAGGGGGACCAAACTGACCTCCAGTCCTTACGCTCCTCAGCCATCTGATCGAATCGAGGCCACGCTCGTGTCGTCAAAGGGGATGCGAAGTTGCGGAACGTGTCTTCGTATACTTGCACTTGGTGCTCGCGAGAAACAGATGCTTATTTTCGCATGCTGTGAACTACATCCACAGTGTGAGAAATCTACCTACGTTATCTGAGCGGTCCTCCTCGAGCGCACGGTGATCAACTAGGAAAGATTCGCATGATAACAAGCGGCCAACATGTGCCACGAAATCCCCTGCAGGGATGATATCAGGTTTGTTAGCATTGCTCAAGAGCTGATGAAACTCGATGGAAGTCGTCATTGATCAATTCGCAACTGCAGTTACTTGGTGCGTGTGGTAAGATCACAAACAAGTTGCGTTTCTTCTCGCGACGCCTGTCGATTTTTCTGAAGTGCACAATTCGGCTTTTACTCTGGAATCATTCCGGTAGTGCGTCCTCAACTTTGCGATTTCATGCTACACTTACATCAGTTAAATTCGCTGAGGCTGCTTCTCGGTGGCCACAATGATTCAAGTGGTACGTGGCTTTGTGGTTGGTGGGGGTGTCAACGTAAATACAATGCTGGAGTCCTGTTATCGGCTTTCAATAAGCAACTGACGTCAATATCGAGAATCTTCAGGATACTCACTAGACCGGCTTGCTGTCAAATCTGCATAAGTACCCTTACCTTGAAACACATAAGATGGAATGAAGACCATTATAATTCTCTTGTTCGTGCCGTAATCAGAATCGCAGGCAGATTCATGAACCCAGGAATCAGTTAACGGATAACAATGATTGTTAACAAACAAACAATTGACGTCTGTTGAAGTCGCACGAATGTAAGAAGCAGTAACAGTGGCAGATGAGCGCAGTGTAGAACAAGTTTTTTGTCAGTGGGCTTGATACCACCCGGTTACGTAAGTCGTAGTAAGTATTTGGATTCACGGATACCAGTACGAGCTTTTGGCTAAATAGTTTACCCGGCAGCGGAGTGATTCCAGTGAATCACACTGTTGTGTTAACAACGAAAAGTTACCTAACCAACCAATCCATTGTCTTGTAGCCGCTCTGTAGCCATCAATTCTCGATCGGTACCAAGCATATTTAGAGATTTCGAATGTTTCATTTTCTGAAGTTTGCCCTGACGATGTTGCCTATCCTGGTAACGAAACGTTCGCGATTCAAATATCCAGCTCTGAGAAAAGCCTACCACCATCGTTCGCACACTGAGCTACAAGGATTGTCAGTAATTGCCCATCTTGTTACTTATGTTGTGCGTGTCTACCCCAACTACAGCGAGTTGAGTTAATTCTGTCTATCTCATGCACGGTCGTTTCCTGCTTGTAATTGCACACTTTCTTGAATCGAACTCTGAACTGGGACGTCGCTTTTCCGATGCCGAATCATCAATGGACTGTGAAAATTGCCTATCCTTCACTCTTATGTCTGCACCCTCACTCTTCGTCCACTGTTATTTGTTACTCTCCATATCTTCTCCGGTTCGATAGTTGCTTCTATGTGTATTTAAGTTTATCCTCAGCTGATCTTTGAAGTGTACGTCATTTTTCATAATTATACTTTCTCCCAGAGCGTGCAACAGGAAAAAGAGAATCTCCAAAGCCGGCTTCAGGATCGAATCAAAGAGGCGGAAGCTCTCCAACAGAGTTTGACGGCTGCCACTGTTCTTAAGAATAGGATCTCCAAACCGACTGACAGTACGCATCTGGAGGACTTGAGCAACGGTATGACTTTTTGTAGAATGCTACCTTCTTCACCGACATTCTGTTAACATTTTATTCCCATCTACTGGCGCATCGCATCATTCACGTTTGAAACAGCTGCATTTTATGACTTAGATGTTTTTATTTCCGTCGTAGCTCCGCACTGCATCCAATTATTTCTCATATATTTTGAATTCTTTTAGATGAACTACTGTGTCTCGATGGCCCAACAACCTAGTATGCCGGCTCGTAGCATTAAGGGTCACAGGCCTACCGTGTAATCCCTGGGCGCAGGTTCTATCCTGTCTAACGGACCGGCTGACGCTTGCAATATCTTTAGCCCATGCGCGACTGGTGGTAGTTGCGTAGTAGCGGAATGTCAGTACTGCGTACCGGCGTACTGATGATACTTTTCTGGCTTAATGTGCCCTGGTTGGGTTTCAGTTTACCCGCTTATGTCTTTATGGATTATTCGATTATTTGACATTTCTATGATTTAGTGAAGCCTCATAGTGGTGAGTCTTTCGTTTAGCGGAAGACTTAAGGAAGCTTACTGAATGACTTTATTGGACTGATGTCTCCAATTACCCATCACTGTTTGATAATCACAACATACCTTGTCTCATCCTGAATTGTCCAAAGGGCTGTACTATCCACCGGACCCAGGACAATGTTTCAGCTGCGATTTTATCGTCCGCCATTATGACCATTTGGTTGTGTGTAATCGTCGGCAGATCCACTGTCAAGCTCCCACTAGCAGACCTCGCTTTCCGCACTTTCCTGAGATCTTTCTTGTACTCTGACTTACGAACTCTGTGTATTTCCTCTGATACACATGGCTACATTGCGCAGATGGATGGCGCGCAGTTGGCAGCACAACTTAAAGAATCAGTGCTTTGGTTCTCATTGACCCACCTTCTCTGGATCTTTCTACTATGGAAGAATATGAAGTCTTTCAATGATAATGAAACTTATTTGAGCATTGTTGCAGTGCTGCACTATGTCGAACACTTGAACGCACCCAATGGCATCCATCCACAATTTACTGCGTTTCCGCTTCGCATTTAAGCAAGTGCGTACTGCATACTCTTCGGACCAGGGATACCAACCAAAACATATTGCGGGAGATGTCCAAAACCTTGCTTTTGTTTCGTGAATTTCTGCAAGGGTTTGTTGCCTTTTTGAAGCCAGAAAGTTGATTACGTTCTACCAAGTTTTGCTTTAGGCTACGGAACACAGTGGTGTCGATAACTAACATTTATCTATGGAATGGAACAAACCAATGCCCGCCGATTGATGATTCACCTTAAAATCGTCTCCTGTTGAGAAAGACTCTCGTGCTCCAGACCAGCACTGAACTCAATGACAACTGCATCTTTTCGAGTTGTGGTTCCAACCCACCTATCTTTTGATCCCACTCTGGCGGTGGATCTCAGTCTCTCAGTTATGTGCGAAGTCCGACATGAACTGTTGTTGTTGCAGCAGAACATGAGTCCAGCGCAGATAAGTTATCCCCCTCCCCGCCGTAGAAGATTCGTAGCGAATCGCCTGTGATTGGTCTGTTCATACTTTGACTGCGCAATGTCGACATATTTTCACGTTAGTGGTAGTCGATCATCACACCCCCTTTGGTAAGATACAGGCTAGATGGTGAGAATTTCACGGAGTTACTGACGTGATTGTCCTCACTCCTAAACTGCTTATAGTTATCATGCTCTGACATCCCATCAGCCTGACAGCCAGATGAGTGAGAGACCGCATTTTGAATCGACCATTTATTTGCTTCCGAATGGGTACTTCACTCACACAACACACAGTGATAACCAGCTTTGGAGGCCTCTAGATTTTTTGACCTGGCCTTGCACTCCTGTGTGAGTCGCTGACCATTCTATCTATCTATCTATATATATATATATATATATATATATATATATATATATATATATATATATATACCAGCTAAACCTTTCCATGATGAACTCTGCATTTGCCGGTCCTGGACATCATGTAAACACGCTGTGAAGTTCCATAGTCCTTTCTGTCTAGTGGGCTGCATCCGCGTTGCCTCCTTGCTGGACGTCTCTCGAAGTTATGGTCGAAATGAATGTGTTTGGTGTTCCTTATTATCCCTGTTCGCCGATTGCCATTCATTAAATACGTCCACTTTGCTTAACTCCTGGGCCTCAGACTCAGTTGGTTATTTCATGTCCTCGTGTGCCTGCTAACCCCCTGCCTTTTACAGTATTTTTGACGCTGGTCAGTGAAGGCACTGTGGAAGTATTCTCGTCAGTCCCAACTTATCATCGCATTATATCCTTGACAAGATGTGAGCGCATTGTTCGTAAATATTTGCTTGGTTTTTTACGTTTCATATTCCCTCTTTTCTGCGTCTCGCAAGTGTTCTCTGCTCACCATCTTAACCCATCCGAGTTAACACACTGCTCCTGGTCTGCACCATCTGCACTTTACTCAATGCTGCTCAGTCGGAATTCGAGTGGGCGTTCTCCTGATCGATCAACGCAGTCTTGACACATGACATTCATCCTTAGCATGCTTAATACACCACTGCAGCGAGTGCACGTGTGCAGCTGATGGATCGAGGTCCATGTGTCGGGGTTAACTGAAATCACTGCATCGTGTGTGCAGGTATATGCTATTGACCTAAAGTTTAGTTGCTCATAGGTTTCAGACGCTCTTAAAGTAGTGCCACCCAACACTTGGTTATCCCTGGGCTAGTGTCCACGGATTCACGGCTAACACTGGTCAACAAAAGATACTTTTCCTGATACTGAGAATAGTTCAAACAGTTGATAGTGTTTGGGTATTGCTAATTTCTATATGAAAGCGGTTTTCTCAAATTGGCTCTAGTTTTTGAGATACGATAATTAATTAACAGTCAACCAGTAATAGTAATACGGTTATGAAAAATATCCCCCGTTTATTTCACAAATATTTAACTCTAGCTCGATGTACCTGTTTGCACAACCTTGGTGTATTCTGCTACATTTTTGGCGAATACATTGTAGCAAACCAACGGAAAAGAATCACTCCCTTATAAGTCAAGCATATTGCGCTGTTTTGTTTAAAACATGGAGTTCAGGAGAAGTCCTGGACTTCCCAACTGTCTCTTCCGATTGGCAACTGAGAATTTATCACAGCCCCCGCTCAGACAAGCCTACCAAGCTGCACTACTTACCGAACTTTCACTCCCTTGTCTTAACGATCTCGATCGCCATGCACGGCGCAGTAGCGTCTGCTTGTGGTACTATCAACCGTCACCCCATCAGTCACTAGCTCTCCGAAAGATCGGTGAACCTCTTTGAGTCCAGAAGAAAACCCGGCTGGCTCTGTGCACAATGTGACCAGACAAACCATTAGGCGCGAACTAAAGTTGAGCCTACTTGCTGACAAGGGAGCCTGGTGGACCATTAGGGCTCAAGAAATGGGGGAGACGGGAGCAGCAGGGAACTATCGCAAGCTCTTCCAGCTGAGCCGCACCACTGGTCCCAAGAAACTAGGCGTCAGTGAGACAATCAGAGACAGCGCGGGTGCACTGATACACAATAAGGGGCGTCGGATAGCTCGTTGGGTTGAATACTTTCAAGATCAGTTCAGCTGGCCACCTGTTTCTGGACCTCTTCCTACTCAGGTGATGCAGGATGAGCTATGGACAGTTAGTTTAGAGCCTCTGTCGGAGTCCCAGGTCCGAAACGCGATCACAGCTCTCAGTCGTTCTCATGCAGCTGGCCCGGATTCCCTGCCACCTGCACTATTTAAGAAAGATGGTGAACTCCTCTGCAAAGCACTGACTTCACTGTCCAAGCATGTATGGAAGGAGGAAACCGTCCCGGTTAACTGGAGTGAATCGTTCATAGTGGCAATATACAAGAAAGGTAATCACACAGACTGTGCTAACCACAAGAGTAATAGCCTTACGCCAGTTGGGACAAAATTACTGGCCTCGATCCCCGTTCGTCGCTTCACTGCAGAACAGGAATCCCGGATTTGGGGAGAGCAGGCGGGTTTCCTTCTTTACTGGGCTGTATACACCGCATATTTCTTTGCGGCAAGTGTCAAATCAGCACCACACATACCACAGACAGACAATAACTGTGTTCCGCGACTTAAAGGTTGCGTTCGACTCAGTCGATCGATTTGAGGTACTTGTGTGAGATGGTGCTCCTATGAAATATGTGAACATTTTACATTTTTTTATCATGTCCGGTGCTAAGAGCGGCTGCACTCAGGTGCTGACGTAACGCGGTACGCTGAATTGCTAACTGTCTACTGGCGCAAATTGCTTATCCAGCAGGGGTGAGATGGGGCATAGAGGCGCGACACGTGTGTCCACGATTGCAGGGCTCACCGAGCCGTTCGGCTGTGAGAACTGGACAGACATCACAGCCGCAATGAATGTCAGGCCTCGACTGCAGAGCAAGACCAAAGGAGCGCAGGCCTTTCGACTGTGGGAACTGAACGTGAACCAGAGACCACAGCCGCATTGAAGGGGCGATATTTCGATCGATCGGTAGTCGGCGTTCACGCAGGTGAAATAGTCAGCAAAAGGGTTCCCTGCGAATTGGTTAGTGGGGCACTGTCCTAGCAAGTGAGAAAAACAGCCTGGCTGTATGTGATGACTGGTTGATGGGGGCCGTATTGTTATCGCCTCATGACTGGCTTCCAACAAACCCGTAAGCTTTTAGTAGGCTTCTTTCGCTGCTAAAGGCAATCATACACACATTGTAAGGTTACAGTGTTGTTCGCTTTACCGTTTCGATCGCGTGTGTGTTACAGCTGAAAATTCACCCTTCATGGGTGCATAAAAACGAATTCTAGACTTGACGTGACGTGACAATGCGTTTAAATTTCAGTCTGCCTCGACGCACTCGTGGCACCATTAGAAAGCACACCAATTTAGTCAGAAATACAACTATTGTCCTCACAATCAGACAATTGCTAGTTGTGCAGATTGATCAGGCCTTTGACGGTGTTTCTCGTGTACAATGGAGAATATACATTTATTCGTTTCTTTACTTATATTTACATGACATGTGTGAAATGTCTGTAAATATCAAGGAATTGGATGTTCGAAGTGCCCTCCGTCGTTTTGGCTACAGAGGAGCATTTGCCGGATGGTATTGACGAGCACGTTTTGAAATGTCTTCAACAAAAGCTGCCTACCTTCGTTCACATTGTTCTCTTTCAATTCATCCAGCTTTTTGGGTTTCTTTCTATTAACTCTGCGCTTCAAGTATCCCCATAGTAAAAAATCCATTGCATTCAGATTCGCTGATCGCACAGGCCATTCGATCGGTTCTCTGCGACCGATCCAACGTTCACCGAGCGTCTCGTTCATGTAGGCACGAACCGATTGCGCCGAATGTGCAGGTGCGCCATCTTGCTGCCATTAAACGTTGTTCATTAACCCTTCCGACTTTAGCTGCGGAATGTCGCTGCTCTGCAACATTTCCATATACGAGAATGCTTAGAAATGTCAGACATTGGTACTGTTAAACAATAACCTACTGGGCACACTACTAGCAAAGACAAAGGGCCTAATGATTTTTCGACCCGCCAACCCAGCCCAGGCCATGAACTTCGCGCTATGTTGCACACGTGGAGCGCTACATTGCCGAACGGCCTGCGCTCCGTTGGTCTTCCCTTGCGGTCGAAACGTGACGCATTCATTGTGGCTGTGGGGTCTGTCCAGTTCTCACGGCCGAACGGCTTGCGTTCCGTAGGTCTTGTCCCGCGATCCACGCATGACAGATTGCTTGCGGCTGTGGTATTTGCTAAGGTTCACTTCTCACAACCGAACGGCTCGGTGAGCCCTGCAATCGTGGACACACATGTCGCGCCTCTGTGCCCCATCTCACCCCTGCTGGCTAAGCAATTTGCGCCAGTGGACAGTTAGCAATTCAGCGTACCGTGTTACGTCAGCACCTATGTGCAGCCGCTCCTAGCTTCGGACATGATTAATATAGCACCTGCACATCAGGTGAGTGTATTATTTCTTCAGTTGTCGTATACATGCGACCATTAAGTATTTGCTGTCTCTGCATTTGCATTACACGAGACAATTTTCACGTGATTTTTATACTAAACATTCTTTTGTTTTCTAGCATATTATACCTTTTAATGTGTGCACCAAATCTCTGAATCAGTGACACAAATTACCCTAAAATCATTAAACCCAAAAATTACGTTTGAACAGTGTGCTGTTTCCGGGATTGTCTTGATGTAGTGCAAATTGGGTGTCTATGGATGAGAATACAAACTCAACCCTGTACCCCGTTTTCGACGGTCTTGTTTCCACTCCCGACATTTCATTCCCTTTCTGTCGCATTCTTACTGTTATTGCATACCTCCGTTGACCGATTGCGCTCATCTCCATATTAGATGTACCGATTTGACTCGCTCCCTTGAGCCCGTGGTCTCCACTTAGGTTTCACCGTCTTTTTCCTGCGAGATCGCATTGTCAGATTAGGTGCCCCTGCACTCCATGCTCCCAAGCACTCCCGTCACTCTTTTCTCGTCACTAGCGCCCTCACCTCGTGTGTTGGCCCTGCTCATAAAAATCCCCCATTTTGTTTCCATCGTCGGACTATTGTTCACTTCTATTGTATGATTGCATGTTTGTAGCGCGCACTCTTCCTAAGCAATGTTGGATTAAGTTCTGACTCAAGTTTATTTTACATTTCTTGCAACAAATTTGTTTAAGATCAGTCATACCTTGCACTGCGCTGCACTATATTCGGACCATCAAATCGACTGTGTGTTCTTATCCTCATTCATACACTTGTACTCCGTTCCTCGTTTTTACATTGCAGAAATCAATTCCTCTGTCAATGGTCTGGAAAATGGACCTATGGAAAGTGCGGAGCAGTTGGCCGGTAAGCAGGCTGACATTTATTTGAGCCACTTTGTACCTGCGTTGTTACTTACAACCTATATCTGGCCTGGGTAACGCTCATCTCACTCACCTTTATGTTGCCATACGCTTAACGTTTGCTTCTACATGGCTGCGTTTCGTTTACATGTTATCATCACCATCATCATTACACAGCAGCTGAAGGTGCGAAACACACTTCAACTCCTGTTCCGCAATACATAAGAATAAAACATGCGAAAATCAAGATACTGAGATTTATGGAATGCGAAAAACCGGCAACACATTACTTTGTTACATATTATCCTTCAATAGCTGGTCCGTAGCCTTAAGCATCGCAAGCGCGCATCGCGCAAATTCGTACCTGCGTAGGCACCGGGCGATCCTTGCTGTATCCTTAGCCTACGCGCGACTGGTGGTGGTTGCGCCGTATCGAAGCGTCGGTATTGCATACCAGTGTGCTCCTGATGCCCGAGTTCCACTCCCAGCGCAGGCTGTCTTTACCCGGTATGTCCACACGAGGACGAACCCGGTCATGGGTTGTCAGTGTTGGGACGGAGATACGCTAAAACCTCTTCCAGCGTGCGAGGGTGTTATGCAAACATCATCAGGCAGTCTACTTGCGACCGTCTCCAAATTGTTCACTAACATCATTCGGACATCATTCACTCTGTGATTGTCAACTCAACGGAGGTTGGGTTAACTTCAGCCCTTATGGAATGTGCACTGACCATCTGTCTATTCTTCATCAGCTTCTGGAATGTCGTGTCTGCAGACAACCTACCAATGTTACCTTTCCACGGGTTGATTTCTTTTTCTGTGTTAAAGATTTCACCTTTCTCTGGCTCTCTCTCTTTCTCTCTCACTTAGAGGGTTTTTCGGTGATTCCTGTGCGGCCATGTGTCTCTTTTGGTGGTTTTTCCTTGAATTCGATGCAAGTTCGGCGCCCTTTGATTATTTCCGTTTTACGAAAACTACTGATTCGTGTAGCACGGCCCATGGCGCGCTGCAAGGCGAGCTAAGTACGAAGATGGACGACGGGGAAGAACTGAACTGAAATTGGAAATGCGCAGCCCATCTGTCCATGTGCCTCTGCAAGTTAGTGATTTGTGTCCCATCCGCCTCACGGATAACCTCACTGACACCAGACTTTTTGTGACCGCTGGACCGAATGGACTGCCACAACCTGCGAGTATTTCCAGCGAGGACAGCGGTTTCCATCTCCAAGGCGCTTTGAGACCACAAAGCTTCACGATCACCACGAAGACTCCGTTTAAGTTGGCGCTTGTTGGCGCAGCGAAGTTCATTGTGATCAGGGTTATATGGGAGTGTTTGACGGCGGTCAAACAGTGTCAGGGAGCGCACGGTGATACAGCACTTTTTGGGGAGGGGCGATAAGTGAATCCACAGGCTGGTTGGCCAGAAGATGACATCACATTCTGCAAGAGGTTCCATTGTAGCTCGACGTCAGTGGGAGAATCACTAGCTGAGGCGTTTGCCAATGACCAATGATAGTTCAGCTGAGTCGACGGATCGGCTGCTAACTTGTTCGTGTCGGGCTTACAATGCTTCCGTTTACGAGGACCTCCAAAGCGCAACCAAAAATTCGCACAAACCAGTGCGTGATCACAATTAAGGTAAGTAGACCAAAATGGTCTGCAATCCTGTATGCTACCTCACCACCTGGAACTGATTGTAATGTGATCTATTTGAGACCAGTCCGGCAATAGTTAAGAGGGACGCCAGGTGGCAAAACGCCTCCTCGAGTGTCTGGAGTTAGAGCTTACGAGAAATAAGCCATCGTCTTCACACAAAATAAGAAACCTGGTCCCGTTTTCGGAGCGCTTCTCGTGCAGTGCGTGATGTCCACTTAGGTGAAATTCACCAGCAGATACTGACCGACGCGTGCATTGAAGTCCGCGGCGAGACCTACGACATTCGATTTGGCAGCTTTGCACAAGAGCTGCTGAAGTTCGAAGTACAAATTGTCCTTGATCGATTCACGGCTACTGTCGGTGGGTACATAGGCGGAGACCACGAACAGGTTGCGCCACTCATCGCGATGCCTGATGACTCTGCATGAACCTTTAAGTCGCACTGAACCTAATCGGCCATTGACTGGGATCCAGTCCAGCAGTGCGGCCTCGGCTTTGCTGTCTAATGCCACACCAACGCCTGCTAAACCAGCTGCGTCGCCAGAAAAACGCAGGTGATATGTGGCCCCCTGGTTCGTCGGGGAAGTCAACCTGAGCACAATGATTGGGTCTTGTAATCTAGTTTCGGAAAGGCAGCATATACCAATATCGAGTGAGTCCAGAGTGCGAATTAGACTGGCCTGTTGTCCATTCTGCTAGAGAGTTCGAACATTGAAGTTGCCAACCGAAACGAGAGTCGCGGTCGAAGGATAGCCTCAGTTCGCGCTTTGTGGGGGGCCTCGAAACCGGTGTATGGTTTAGAGTGAGGGTAACGCTGATTAATGATGGATACACGGTTGGTGTGCGATGGAGACTGGTGAGAGGCGCCGGAGAGAGGAACAAGGGCGTAAGACGATGTAGCAGTGTGATCCATAGTTTCTGCAGAGGGCACGATACTACTCGGTTGCCCAAGCCGAAGTAGTGAGTTGTCTTAGGGGGCTCCACCCCGAGCCTTTAGCCCGATAGCCTCCCCGCAAGGCAGTGGGGCGAATTCAGGGAATCGCACTCATTGGGAGCCGGTGACCGATTTCTTGGTTCATACCCCTTTCACCAAACAGGGACTCAATCTTCCCTATACTTTCAGTACAAGACTGGTGAAACACTGCTCCACTGAGGTGAAGCAAGGGGCAGTGACTTTAATTAGTTTCGAGTCACTTCCATCACTTCGCAGTGTTGTTAAACAGACATATGTGACTTTTTATGGGGAGAACGCTTGCCAGGCAAAAACCGACCACATCCTGGAACACTGCCGACGAACCATTTGCTGGAACAGGTAAACCTGAACCACGCAGCTGGCACCACGTGGAGGTTGTTCGGTTAGCCAGCCAATGGTGTCTCTAGACAGGCGCAATGAGAAACTGCCAGCGGAACTCGCAAACACTGCAACTAACCGTATCGTCGAACTAGAGTCATGCAAACGGGTTTCATTGAAACATCAAGTGTCAATTTCAGTAGTTTCTGCAGTGCTTGTAAGAGCTGCTCGGGATCCGATCTGCATCAGCGTTAGAACATTAAAGATTGCTTGCATAAATTGGGAACGAGACGCTAGAAAAAGCCTGTCGATGCGGTTGCGTGGTGTGCCCTCGTACCCAAACTTCTGCTGCGTGCCGCGAGAACTCTCGCCTAAAGCGGCATTGTGTTTTGAACTCTGAAACTGAGGGGGTAACTAATATGGAGGGATTGAACAGACGTGGAATAGAGTAGTTGGAATGTGGTGCGGCAGGGTGTGGTTTAGAAGACGCGTCAGCCAGGACCTCGGTCGGGCTTGCATTTCCAGAGAGCATGAAAAGCGAGTGGCGAGACATTACAACATTTGTCTATAGATTGTGTGGGTTGCCCAGGCCGAGGAACAGAGTTGGCTTAGACGACTCTACCGGAGTTTTGACTAACAAAGGTCTGACTTGTAAGGCAGCGGGACGATTGACGTATATCGCGAACCGTTGGGAGCCAGTTATCAAATCGAATATAACATCTTTTGAGTAGAAAGAAACTATTCAGGGCGCCCAAGTGTAGTAGCACGGAGACCAGGAAAAGCTTCCTGGCTAATCAAACTCCCTGTCAGGCACGATTGCCGTCAACATCCAGTTGACAAACGCGTTGGTTTTGATACAGCACCATATGAGCTTTTGTGGCATTCAGTGAGGAATAAGATGACGAGCGCGAAATCCCCTACGCTCTGAGATTCTGCCGCTGATTGTCCGCTACTGCATATTCATCTCGCCCGCGAACAGAATACTTAGTTATCTCCACACGGAAGGCGTTACCCGCTCCGAAACTTGGGAGCACGCCCGCTGGCGTACAGCTCCGCCGAACCAACTAGTGGTCGATTCAATCCCTTGCATGAATGGAAGCATCGAGAACGATTACATCAACTCTTGATGACATTATCGGATATATTTTTGTCGTAGGGTTATCGACACTGATCCATTTATTCTCTTGGTTCCAATCGATAACATTGCTACCAGAGTAATTTCAACCAACATTTCTCGACTATATCCTTTTCTTTGTCATTCATTTAGCATTTTACCTCATAGTGCTGTCATTGTTAAGCAACATAGCCACAACGACACAAGTTAGGGACACTGGATCCACCGCACTTCATCACTCTGATTAGTTATTTGGCTGAACTGAATCGGATACAAATCACCCACCATTAGTCGCACCACCACTCACCCCGCTGAATGAAACGAGTTTTTGGGATGGGATCCATTGATTTTTAATATAAATAGTTGGAAGCACTATCATGTTTCTCTTTATCCGCAATGCTGTGAACAATATTTAGAGCAGATCTTTGATGATTGCGCGACTATTGATGCGGAATTTGGCGAATTTCTTGATGAATTTCGTAGCTGCGTGTCTGTAGACATGGCTGGCGGCATCCGGTTTCGGATTTTCCTATCACTGTGGCCAGCCACAGGACGCGTGCAGAGGGACCATGGGTGGCTTGCGCTGCACTACCCACAGCTCCATCCACACACCTCATATCCAGTGTAAACCCGAAGGAATAACACCGGGAGGCATGTGGATGGGAGCCGCGTTTCATCAGTGGAGCCGACCCACACTCCTTCACAGGCAAACGCAAGCACCCTGTATTTGGGGAATCAAGCGTACCCAAGGCGGTGGTTGGATTGTGGTCCGCCCTACACTGAATGTAAAGAACCACTCTTCGAGCCTAGCACGGCCACAAGGACCGTGCACCCCGTCCCCTCCAGCAACGACTAACTGTCTCCTGGAGCCAGTATGGATGAGGTATTGGGTACTAGACAGGTAGGCACCTTGCCAACATGCACATCAAGCGCAGCCACACCGGAGATATCATGCAACAAACAAACACCTGAAATGCAAGTATCTCAACACGCAGACACACGCACAGTCCAACTGCCGCAATTATGCAGTACACGTATCACATCGACTGTCTTATTGGTCTGGATTAGTAAACGGGAAGGGAAGCAGCGCACTTGCCAAGCGCCGCGCTGATGCTTACCTACACATTTAGCACACTCGTTTTCTCCTAGGTGTTGGCCCCGTGTGGCGACCCTGGTGGTTAACCAAAACCGTTTGGCTGAAACACTCACGACCGCATATGCTACAGCGTAATTCGCTCGACGTCGATGTGCTATCCACCATCGTTGCCTGTCACTTTCTCAACCCTCGTTTCTTTTTGCATGCAGTAGTCATCTCTCTTGCGCCTGGATAACCGCCTTTTTGATATGCTCTCGCCTTGCAATGCGATCAATCGCCTTCAATTCCCAACACTTGAAATCAATACTAGAACGTGATAGACTCACCTTGGTCATGTTATCATCATTATCATTATACACGTCAGCTAGATGTGGGAAACACCTCAGCTACTGTGCCGCAATACATAAAGGAAAAGGAAAATAACTACAACAGTTGCATGCCAGCTGAGCTGCCAGCAACGGATAGGCATCGTTCCGGTAAGCTACCAGCTAGCTACTAGGCAAAAAGAAAAATTGTTATGTTTTACGCTACGAAATGAGATCGTAGGTGGAGCGGGAGGCTAAAAGGGATGGGGAGGGACAAAGAAACTCACAGCACAAACGCCACTGAGGTCGGCTCCTTGCCATATCAGCAAGTATATGTTGCCAAACGTGTTCATCGTCTTTTGGATCCAAACCAGAGAGCCGTGACGCTCCAACCGAGGCCAGCTCAGAAGTGAGGGACTTCATTCCTCTGGACCAAGTCATCGCTTGGCCACCCTCCTCTTCTTCCATCCACATCCCCAGTGAGCAAACAACGCACGTCATGGAAGTCGGTGGGCTGGTAAGCGCAACACGTGGCCCAGTCATCGGAGTCTGGTGCGTGAAATAACGGTGCTGAGCGGTTCAGTTCCTTTTTCTGTGCTGTTAACAAGGCGTCGAATACGGTCATTGCTCACGCGGTGTTCCCACTAGATGTGAGCCAAACTGCGAAGGCACCGATGGTCGAACGTAACTAGCCTCTTCATGTCTTCCCATCTAATGGGTCAGGTTTCACAACCGTACAGTAGGGTCGAACGTACGGCTGCATTGTACACTCTACCCTTCAGAGCGAGAGTGATTTCGCGCCGCCGTCATAGGTGACGAAGGTTAGCAAAAGCACTTCGAGCTTTTGCTATACGGTTCGTGATCTCGTCTTCAATCCCAAGGTCGCTGATACAACTTCCCAGGTAGTAGAATTTTTGAACGACTTCTAGCTGATCCCCACCAAGGGTCAGCGCAAGAGGCGATCCCTGCCAATCTTGTAGGAACGCTTCGCATTTCAATGGTGCAAAGCAAAGCCCGAAGCGGCTGACAGCCA